GGAAAGCCGACTGGTTCCTTCCACAGAAGCCTATCAGTGAGAGATTTGACACTCTAACCTCACAAAGCCCGCCATTGCCTTAAAGAACCTGCAAGTTGGCCGTCTTAAGTGGTTAAGTGGAAAGCACACTAATCTAGACCACCTTTTCCCTAAGGGTGGAGGGTAGCTGACTCCTAGCCCCTCAGCTGGGATCACCTTGGTGCCAGAAGCTGGGCTGGGGCACGGTGTGTCCTTCAACCTTGTCAGAGAGCTCCGTAAAGCGGGAAAGCGGGGCAGGGCTATAGAAAAAGCACCCTCCTCTCTCACCACTAAACATCTGTCCGTGGGCAGGGGAAGGTGGTGAGGAAGCGGTGCAGCTATGCCGAGATCCCGTGGGCTAACATCTGATGCTTCCTGTGGGGAAGCATCTGAGATCTCACAAGCTCCCCAGCTCTCCTTCCTAAGAGGGTCGGTACTGCTAGAGGAGACATGAGGGTAGGTGCTCCAGAGCTGAAGTTATCCGGTAAATCACATTCCAAAGGTGACTCCTGAAGACGGACATCTGTGATTCTGGAACTGAGTAGGCGGTGGGTGGGTGGGTTTCCCACAGCCAATCCAATCCCCACAGGCTTTCAAGAAGCCACGCTGGGAGGCACAGCTATTGTGTTGGTCTCCTTGAAACATAAAAACAATTTCTTCTTAAGAAGGGAGCACCCACAGAAGAAACTTGTCTCCTAGAGAAAGATTTCTAACTTGTCGCATGACCTGTCCAGAGATCCTTGGAGCTGAGACCATGGTGGGAAGGAAGAAACACCTTCTCAGACTGTTTCGTTGTGTGTCTCTTGCTCTCTATTTGCTCAGAGTAAAACTTCCATTTTATTTTTCCCAGATTTTTTTTCCTCTTGTTCTTAAGAAGCTTCCTCTACATGGCTGTGGGGGAGACTGTGATATAGCCATCAACAGCACAGCTCACATGGTAATGCAGCTTGACATCGAGTTTGGGAAGAACACAAGCACTTAAGACACTTGTTTTGGATATGTCCGTGGTGCCAGTGGCCCCTACAATGTTCTGAATGGCAAACTTCTTAATGGCCTTGTCTTTGGGCCCTCACTGAGCAGGTCATTGAAGCTGATTGACTGTACATGGCTGCAGCTTTTTTTTGAGCAACCATTGTTTCTTCTTTCTTTGGTCAACTGTGAGCCAAGACACAAAAGAAAAGTTATTTATTTTTTAAGTTATTTAACTTTTATTGATCTTTATGAATTTCATATTATGTACCCCAAACCCACTCATCTCCCTGTCCTTTTGTATTTGCCCTCCATACTTGCAACCCCCCCTCCAACAAAACAAAACAAAAAAACCAAAGGGGCTGGAGAGATGGCTCAGAGGTTAAGAGCACTGACTTCTTCCAAAGGTCCTGAGTTCAATTCCCAGCAACCACACGGTGGTTCATAACCATCTATAATGAGATCTGGTGCCCTCTTCTGGCATACAGGCAGAATACTGTATAAATAATAAATAAAATTAATAAACAAAAAAACCCCACCATATAACAGTGTACCTTTTTGTCTACACATCTTTTAGTTGCAAATGTTCATTGCAATGATTCTTTGGTCTGTTTGAGGCATCTGGCTTCTGCTATTCTATCAATACTAGATTCTCACTGAGACTCCTCTCAGATATCCTGTTTTTACCTTCTGCAGCTTTGATCCTGCAGCTTTGGATGTGCAGGACTGGCCCTTTCACTTGCTCTAGCAGTTCATAAAGGGGGTAGATGCTGTGTAGACATAAGGTTGTGTAATTCAAATGCTGATTTTTATAAATCCCATATCTGGTTGCAGTCCTTGTTAAGAATCTCCTGTATCAATGTTGTGTAAACACTGCTCCCCAATTGTCCCCTGATATGCCAATAAAGCAACTTACCGCCAGTCAATGAGCAGGGGAGATACTAGGGTAGGATTTCCTGCCATCTGGGGGGGGGGGGCGGAGAGTTAAGAGGAGGACCTAGGGGACTGAGCCCCAGGCAGAAGTCCAGGGGACATTAGAATGGAGCTAGGAAGGAAAGTTGCAAAGTGCAGGTATTCCTGGGATTTTGGCAAAGAGGAAACCAGATTAGTTTAGAGGGTTAAGAATAGAGTAATAAATGCCCAGTTATTATGTTGCAAAGCTTATTAAACAAGTATAATGAGGTCTCAGTTATTTTAATGCTAGGGGAGGGAAGAAACTGAGAAACAATTTTATTAAAATAAGTTTAACAATGTTGCGGTAGGCCAACTCAAAGATCTGGGTTGGGTGGTAGCTGAGTTGTTCAGTCCACCAGCACTCCTGTGCCCACACCACCACAGCCAGCTCTCTCAACTTGCCCAGACGAGGAGCAGGGTCAGCTCTCCTAAGGCAGCTGGCAAGGGACAGTACCTGCTCTCCCAAGCTCAGGCCCTCAGGACTGGCTCATCAACAACCAAGCCACCAGGGCCAGCTCTCCTGCCCTGAAGCTGGCTCTCCCACCTGCCCAGGCAGAAAGGGACCAGTGGAGGGGGCATTTCTTCTTAGTCCATGCCCTCTGGGATGCCCACCACCACTACCACCAGGACCAGGGATACCTGCGTGGCCTTTGGTAGTAGCATGGGTCACACACATCAACAGACCCCTGCTATTGCAGGGACATGTACCCAAATATGACCCTCAGTGGCAGCATGCACTGGGATTTCACCAGGGCCTCAGACGGCAGCATAGGCTACTCACATCATGCTGTTCCTCACCATCCTTGAATCTCCAGTTCTGCCTCTCTCTGGGTCTTAAGTTACAGTTTTTAAAAAGTGTGTATTTCTGTATGCAGATCTGAAAACATGAGTGGGTGTCTACAGAGGCCAGAAATGGGTTTAAGATTTCCTGGAGCTGGAGTTACAAGCAGTTGTAAGGTTACCAACTTAGATGCTGTGATCTTGGCCCTCTGCAAGAGTAGCAAGATGTCTTAACTGCTAAGCCATCTCTCCAGAAGAACATTGCTTAATGAGAAAATTACTCTGCACTTCTAGCCTCATTACAAATCACACTCTCTAGTTAGTGATAGAAAAGGGGGAGAGTGGTGTTCTCGGCAACCTTTAGAGGTGTACCTTAGAGAGCCATGAGAGTAAGCAAAGACCTTCAAAGGACACTCTCCTATGACAAATCCACTTTCCATTGCCCTTGCTTCCTCCCCAGCTTCTGCTTTTTAATTCATTCAACCTTGTCTATTTAACTTACTCTGAAATTCAAACTTCCTCAAAGCTGGAAACCTGCTTTGCCTGGAGGGCTGTGGTTAAGACTGAAGCATCACAGGGATCCTCCAAATAGAAGCCCATCAGCACGGCTGTGGTTCCTAAGTGAGGATGCATTAACTGGGTTACCCTCAGTTAACCCAATCCCAATGGGCTTTCCAGACACCAGCCACTCAGGAGAGCAACAGCTATTGTGCTGGCTCTCTTTGAAAGATAAGGACACTTCTACAATAAAGCAGGTCACCTGGGATGGAAATCAATAGTTTTCTCTTATCACCACAGGAACTTGATTCACCTAAGAACTTAAGGACATGACCTACTGTTACCCAGCTGACTAAAAGTGAACCCTAAGCATCAGACTGAAGCTATCCAACACTGGCAGTCCTTTTCCTTGTGAGAGAGCATGTTTTCTGGCAGGGCAGGTCTGCTGCATCTCATTTTGAGCTCCCAGTGGTCTGCTTTTTCCTCACTCCTGGTTTCAAGAGCCACTTGGCATTAAATGGAGAAGGTAGTCTTTGTTGCTCAGATTTTGGGAGATCATAAAGCAGCCATAGGACCACCAAAGGCTGTGGGTTATGCAAGTGCATATGTATCTACGGAAGCCAGGTCAACCCTGGAATTCCATTCCTCAGGTCTGTCCATTTATTTTCCCCCCTAGAGCCTCTCCATTGACTTAGAATTTGCCAAGTGGGCCTGGCTGGCTGCTCAGCAAGCTCCAGGGATTGTCCTGTCTTCACATCCTGATTGCTGTGATTAATCCTGTGTTCCACCATGCCTTTTGTATGTAGTTTTTAGAGACCAAAGAATTAAAAGTTTAAAGCACAAGACCAAAGGCCAAACAGTTAGAGACATGTCCAGCCACCTGCAGGGGAGGAACTAGCCATACCACATTCTTTTCCTGCCCACTAGAGATACAGTTGCTAGGAAACCGGCCCAGATGGCCAGGCCAGAACCTTTTATGACCTTGGTGCTAAAGTAAGCCAATCATTTCAAAAGTCAATTTCCCTTACCCAATCCTGTAATGCCAAGGCATGTTGTTTGCAGTTTTTCCCTTTAAAAACTCTATTTCCCTAGACTGTGGGGCTGCATTCCTCTCCTGCTTAAACAGGAAGTTTTCCGACCCAGGCTCAAGCTATATCCAATAAACCCTCATGTATTTGCAGCGAAGTTTATTGCTGGTGGTCTTTGGGGCTCTCATGAACTGGGCATAACAGTTTCTAGAGCTCTAGAACTGAAATGCAGCTCTCTCAGGCTTAAGCAGAGGTAGCCCCACAGTCCCAGACTATGGATTTTGGTTTTGCTCACAATCTAAGTATATCTTCACTCTATTTAGGTCTAGTACATAGAAAATGGGGGCTGTGTTGGTGATAAGAGGCTAATTCTACTCAGAGAATTACTTATTTTGTTGTCCAAGAAGGGGGACAATTAAAGAGAGCACAAAGCAGAAAGGCCTGACATCATGTTTATGTCTCAAAGTCACAACTTCAGCATTATGAACACATTTCCAGGCACAGAACATGAAGATTCCTCAGTTGTCATCCATGCTATCCATGCTGTGTGTGTGGGTGCACACCTGGCAAGGCAGGAAGTTCGTAAGTTCTTCAGCTGGAGGCTATCCTGGGCTATGTAGCTAGTCTAGGTCTCAAAAAACAAAATAAAAAAGCTTCTTCATCCCCAAGCCAAACCCACAAAAAAAACAAAACAAACAAACAAACAAAAACCTCAAAAGCCAAATAAAAGTCAACAAAGTCAAACCATTTTTTAGCATTTTTATAAATTTATTTAAAAAATTGCAATGACATCAATGATCACCTGTATTCCCCTTATTGGTGGGGAGACCTACATAGTTGAGTCCCAAATGAAAATCAAGACATTATTATTAGGCACCCTGTAGCCAGGAGAGGCTGTTGGTGCAGTGGTCTAGACACTGGGGTGTCCCACTACCAGCGCAGTTAAAAATATGTACATTTGCAGTTACCCTGCAACAGAAGCACTCAGGAAATAGAGTGCCGTGTAGACCAGCAGCCCACTCCTCCACTCACTCTGTATCTTTGAAGCCATCACTACAATCACAAGAACAAACAAGTAAAAAGAACTAAGTTAAACAAACAAACAAAAAACCGGCCCCACCCCCTCTGGGCTATTGCGCTGTGCTAGAATGACCACAATGAAAGGGCCACAGCTAAGTGCAATGCAGTGACAAAATGGCAACCCAAGTATCTGTTTCAAAGGAAATAAAACTCAAACTTGCCTTCCTTAAAGTGAAACTCAGCAACAAAATGAGATTGGGATTATGTACAAACTTACAGACACAAATAAATAGCTTTCTACAATTGCTGGCTTAAGCACTAGACATTAGGTCTGAGGAATCCCTAAACCCTTTCCTCAGAATTCTCACCATGCCAAAGATAAAAATTCATCATGTTTTTCAGTAACATCTGAAAGCTCATATAAAGAACCAGAAGTTTCTAGTGAGTTTTCTAAAAAAGATCAGCCCCCTCTGACCTCTGGAAGCCAGGAGAAATGGCAAGATCCCTGGGAATAAGAAGAGATGGCTTACTTCATGCTTCTCCAATTAAACTGGTCTCCCTGTGATATTTCTTTATATGGTCAATTCCTTCCCATCTTTAACACAGAACAAAGTCAAAGAGCCAGTCTTTAGACTTGACTTAACTAACCTCAAAGTCTTTGGAATGTCTGTGTTTGACTTTGATTGCAGAACAGGAAGGCAGTCAACTCTTCTGAAATACCAGCCTTATTTTTGTCTTCCAGGCTCAGCATCTACAGGTCTGGGAGCGTGTGTGTGTGTGTGGCTCAGTGGTAGGGTGCTTGTCCAGGAAACACATTTCTTGAGGCCCACCTCATCGTGGGAATTGTGGCCCAATTCCTGACCCTGCAGGAATCTTCCCAGTCTGTAGTTGCTCCCTACAGCATAGATGCACTGGGCAAACCTTGCTGCAAGGTCTACAGGGAAAGGAGAAAACAAGTGGAAACTGGCACCAAAGAATCAGCTGCCATGGGAAGAAGTTCACCCCTGGGCTGGGCCACAGGCAGGAGTGGAGCCCACGCCTCTTCTCCACTCTGAGCTCCAGTAGTGCTCCAGCCTGCAGCCAGGATGACTGCCTCAACACTGCTTGCCCAGGCAATATAAGGAGTGCACCTCCAACTTCTCTTTTAGTGCACATCAGAAGATGCAGTGTGAATGTGACTTGGTGTCTTCAGCTTAAGTTCCACGCCTGGCGTCCATCCACTGGAGAGTCACACTCTATGGCAGCCCTTGGGCAGACAGGGCACTTGTTCTCTAGTCTGATATGCACAGATCCTTCCATTCCCTCCTCACTCATAAAGCCCATGATTAAATATCCTAGGTTTGCCTTTGTTGAGGAACTGTCATGTATGTCCTCAGCACCTGAGCACAGATGTTGTGAAGTTTTGTTCTCTACTGGGAAAGTCAGCTGTGAGGTCGACTTACTCTCTAATCTGTCATTAAAGTGGCCATAGTATGAACTATGGCCCAGATGGCCGTTAGTAGGCATGAGCAGACCACAGTCAAAGTTAGAGATTCAGCAATGTACCTTTTTTGATCCTCAAGGTCTTCTATCCTTTTATCCTGAGTCCAAAATACCCTCTTTGTACTTTCTTGGCTGAAGTAAAAAATACCGACCTAGCATGTGGGCAGACAGTCTTATCAGCACAGGTCAGAGCACTGCAGCTCAGTTGGCTGTTTCATGTCCTAACAGGAAGCCTCCTTCTTTGGGAACCACCTGAGTGCAAATTGTCCTTGCATCAGGCAGCCCGACGTCCCTCCAGAGGATGGGTGCTGTTGACTCCACAGGAAGGCAGGGGCTGTGGCTGCCTTGACTGTAGACCAGGTTGAAAAGGCTGGTCTCCCCTACTGCAATGGCCAACTGGCTGGCCTGGAAAATACCTCCTTTTATCATCCGAAGTCACAAAAGGTCAATGTTGCCAACAGTCTGAAACAGGTCCTGAATGAAAGGGTGAGACAAAGGCTTGCCACTTCAGTTCATCAGCCATGCTACAGCTGTAATACTGAGCTAAGTAGTTTCTGTCCTGAGAAAGGGCAGAGTGCAACCATCAGTGTCTCGTAGGAAGTCAGTCCATGTCCAGGAACAGTGGAGAGGAACATGACTCATCAGCTCTGTTATCCTCCTGTGGTTAGGAAACTCGGATGATCTGTGTCATGGCTTCTTCATCGGCTTGGTTTGGATCCTACAAAGACAGCACAGTAGTCCTTTACAGCAGGGACAGGAACTGGCCTCACAACTTAAAGTGCCTAAGTATTCAGAGGCTAGGACAAAGGCCCAGAGTAAGCACAGCGACATGCTGTGCTTTGTGTCCATATTTTATACGATAACCTTAAAAAAAAAAAAAAAAATAGAATCCAATTTTTTTGCCCGTGGGGCAAAACTTTTAGTGCTTTTAGAAAGGAAAGTTAAGAAACTACACTGCATGCTGTAGAGAAAGTGTTTCTTCCTTGAGCAGAGGACTGCCTGTTGCTGATAATGAGAAGGCAGACAATGGAGAAAGGAAAGATTCCATCTCCTTACCTGCATATGAGGACTGTCCTTTTCTTTTGGAGAGAAAAACCGTCCCCCCTCACCACGTTTCCGTGCCATGGCGTGTCGATGCCGAGACTCATGGAGGTATTTCTGAAGAAAGAGTAGATCACTAACTGTTAGTGAGAGCTAGCAGTAACCTACCAGATTCAATCGTTAAAAGTTCCAGACAGCGGCAATCAGTCAAAGGAATGATGAAGAAAAAAATAGTAGGGTAGCCACTGGCAATATGACTACACTGAATGCTAACTGAAGTAGAAGGGGAAAGTGATGATCATGACCGTCTTCCTAGCACTGACCCTTCCACTGTTTCAGTAACTGACCGAGGTTTGGTTGAACAAATGGCAGTTTAGGAGAGACATCATTTTTATGTCATCTACAGGTATGTTAAATTGGATCATTAGATGCTAGCTAATGTGACAGATGGACTCCTTTAAAAAAAGAGAGCCTCTTTCTTATTCCCTTGGCTCCTTGGCTAGAGCCCAACTGCCATTGTGGACTACAACCAACAGAAGGGCACTGCAGTGGTAAGACAAAAGAAAGTCCTCAGAACAAGTTTTCTCTGAAGTTCTTTACTCTAGAGCGGAAAAACCCCTACTTACAAGCCACTGTGTCACTGTTCTTACAGTAAACCTCCTGCATTCCACTGTTTGGAAGGAACAAGGAAACACACCATATTCTTGAGGCAGAACTGTGCTGTTTCCTGCCTTGCACTCCCCATAGCATACATACCCTTCTTTCTTTTGGAATCTTCCCTTCTGCCTCTAGCTTAGCACGCGCTTGTCTCCTCTTGAGGATGCGGTGATACTGTTTGGCATTCACATACAGGGGCTCTTCTTCCAGCATCTCTGCACCAGGTAAAGGGATTCTCTGGATAGCAGGCACAGAGCCAGCTCCTGGCACCATCTGCATAAACAGGAGGCCAAGCCTGATTAATGGCATGGAAATTCTAAGTAAAACTGCACATTCACAGTCATCTACTTCTGTATCTCCAGTGTCTAGAATAGTCTGGTACACAGGGAGGCATCAGAATGAGCTATGCCTTAAGGATGGAGTTAGCTTCAAATCAAAAAGTTAACATGAGAAGCAACTTCACATGAGACATCAACCCGCAGTTCAAAGACAGAAGAACCCCATGGAAAGCTCCAGTGCCAGAGAACAGAAATGGAGGAACCCCTTTCCTTACCATGACCATTCCTCCTGAGTTGACCACATTGCCTGCCACTGGCAGTGTCACAGTGACAGTTCCTTGCCCACTGCTGGTTGTATTGGTATTGGCTCCCGTCTGAACGATCTGTGCTCCTGCCAAACTGGCTGCTGGGATGGTGATCATGCCTGAAACAGGGACTGTAACTTTTAAGAAAACAAAACATAAAAACAAACAAACAAACAGGCACATGGAACAGAAAGGAGAGAGGGTTAGTCCCTTCCACTTGGCCCTCGTATACCCTCCTGGATAAACTGACCAACACCAGGGAAGAAAGCAAGCACCCTCCTATTTCTTTACTCTGTTTTGCTAAGTAGTCCACCTCAGTTCATTTTTGAAGGTTTCTGTTAATGGTCAAGGGCCCAATTCCAAATAAATTATACTTTCACCCTCACACTGAACAATGGTATCTAAAGGACAAGATGATGTGGAGGCCTCCCCACTATAGCACCATTCCCACCACCAACGCAGTTATCACATTGTTTTTCTACGTGGAAACTGCATGCAGCTTGAGGACCTGGTCACACTCTGCCAGAGATCTTGCTCAGCCCAAACTAGTTCTCTCCTATGTGAATAATGCACCCTCTGGATTTGGTACACTGTAAAATTTTGGTCTTAACCATCAAAATAGAATCTGGCTGAGCTCTCCTTTCTAGTCTTAGTTAGCTTCCAAAAAATTTACATCTACTTTGAGCTTGTCTCCCCTCAAGCCAAATCTACATTTCTCACAAGACATCTTGGCTTCATGCATCTCTTCCTAGGGCAAACTTCTCTAAAGCTCTGCACTTTCTGCATTCACATCTTCTTGGCTAAAAGGAGCTCTCTGAGAAGTCTTCTTGCTGATAAGTAAACAACTGTATGGATAGATGTGGCAGTCTAGAACTAAACTCTAGTTGACAAGCAGCACTGGTTGGTCATATTCACTGGAGATCTGGTGGAAATACTATTGTTTAAACATGTCATGAACTACAGCACAATTCTGATGTACTCTCAGGAACTCAAATGTCCCAGGGCAATAGTGGCAGCTTACCTTGCTGGAGAATCGTGCCATCTGCATTAACTGGCTGGTAGACAATAGTTTGCCCTTCAGCAGTCTGGGCCACTTGTTGTCCCTGGACAGCAATCTGTTGTTGCGTCTGTAGAAAACAATGATATACTCAACAGAGGCCAAAAACCCACAGAGAACCCAAGCACATTTTGATGGCTTTCTTGACATCTTATGTGAACTAGGTACTTTGCTGCTCCATCTGTACTCCTGTGCTGGTGGAGCTGGTATACTCACTTGAGTCTGGCCAGCGGTGACTGCAGTTTGTGGCTGCTGAATGATGATCTGCTGGGTCTGACCCTGCTGGCCTTGTACCTGCACAGCCTGCCCACCTTGGATCTGTATCTGACCAGGGGGTACCAACTGAATCTGTGGAAGAAAATACACAAAAAGGTTAGCACCAAACCAATACTACTCTTGAAGAGAATTCTTGTTCTAATACCAGCTATAAGTTATTAAAGTTTTTTTTCCCCATTTTTCAAATAATTTTAAATATTGTTTGGGTAGCTACAATTAAAGAATCAATGTTCATTTAAAAAACAATCGTTGGTGGCATAGTTATTTTTTAAAGTACATTCTACTTAAAAATGCACTTTAGCACTTTATAAATAAACAACAACAAAAAAAACCAAATAAACAAGCAAACTTTTAAAACATATTCTTTCCAAGTCAAATGTTAAGCTAATGGCAGCCAAGAATAATACTCTGATTAGGTCTTTGAGACAGACAGACATTAGCTGTCAATATTCCTGATCCACAGAAAATGAAATGTATAATCATCAATTAGATTGGATACAGATCACCATGGCACAAATACCAGCCTTGTCTGTTGAGAGTTTCTAGATTAGATTAACTGAGGTGAGAGAACCTATCCTAACTGCAAGTGGCATCCCAGGCCCTGAACTGAACACAAAAAAGGAGAAAGCAAGCCAAAGAGCAGTATCCATCACTCTGCCTCCTGACTACAGATCCATGTATTCCTGTTGCCATGTCTTCCCGCCATGCTGGACTGGTACCCTTAAAATGTGAGGCAAATGCTTCTTGCTGTGAGCCAACAACTTCTGGAATAATATGTTACAACAGCAGTAGATAGGTTGTATTCTTCTTAATCCTGTCCCCAACCTCCCACTATAACTCAGCACTTCCATTAGTGTTCACCTATCTCTTGTCCACTTCTACTTTGCTTACAGGTTTTGGAGTGCCAAACTCACATAGCAAACATGGAAAGTAAAAGATCCTGTGTGGTAACCAAACCTATTCTCTTTTCTTGTCTTAACAGCTTAGTCACTTAATCAGGAGTATCATTAGAAACTTGACAAATTTTGCAAGTTTTTCTTTGAAATCTTCTAACTTGAGGAGGGAAAAAAAGCCTTAACACTTTGTTCCATGAACAGAATCTTATTTCCTTGAGTACTGGATATAAAACTTTAAAGATTAGGAAGGACCTACAACTCAAAATTTCTAGTAACTTATACTCAAAAATACCCGCAACCCAAGTCAGGATACCTAGCTACTTAAAGGAAATCACTGTCCCTGGCCCCACCTGCAAACCCCCTCCTCCTTTTCTTCTCACCAGCTTTGGAAGCATTCTACCACCGTTTATCTGAGCCTCTTGAGAATTGCTTCATAGATCTAGCAGTCTGGGAGTTATTTTCAGAAAGGTGAGACTGTGAAGGACATGCCTAGAGCCTCAAGTCCCCACCACTCTCCAGCTGACTGCTGGTAGAAGGGAAGGGGAAGGAAAGCAGGCCATGGTGCTGTGTCTTAGAGACATTCTTGAACCATTCTGCTAGGCCACACACTAGCCAGGTTTTCTTAAGGACTCTTGAGTACTACTTAACTCACAATTAAAAATGTTAGCAGCTGACTAAAAGTCTACCTGGTCACGAGTGCTTTGCTCCAGGGTTTAAGGTGGCTAGGGATACTGCTTTCATCACAGTACTGTACTTCTACAACAAAGGCAGACAGAGAGTAAGCACCAAATAAAAGGTTGGACTCAAGGAAAAGCGAATTATCTATCTATCTATCTATCTATCTATCTATCTATCTATCTATCTATCATCTATCACAACAATCTCTTCTTCAAAGCATCTACTCTGCAGCTAGGGAGACAGCTCAGATGTAAAGCACCTAGTGTATGGCTCGAGAATCTGAGTGCAGACCTTGGCATCTACAGGATCACATGGCATGAAGGTTTGCATCTGCAACAGCCCTGCAGTGGGGTCAGGGGTAGGTGAGGCAGATACCAGTGGACTTCCAGAGCTCACAGCTTCGCCAGTTAGTAAGAGACTTTGACAACTGACCTGGCCTTCACACGTACATACGTGCAAATTTACACACACACAAATACATACACCATTCATACTCATACCAAACTTCTACTCTGACATATAATCTAAATACTTTAAAAATACCACTCACCTGCTGTAAACCCTGTGTTCCAGACACAGGCACTTGCATGATAGTTTGGCCTTGTCCACCAGGCACAGCCTGGACCATGATCGGTTGGCCAGTTGATGTAATAAGCTGGCCTCCACTGACTTGTACCATTAATGGCTGTCCCTGGACCTAGAATGAAATAAAATATCAACAATGAAATAGTGTAAGACACAAGTGGCTTCATCGAGACAGTCACTGGTCACTGGAACGGCCTTGCTGCAAAAAGAGAACCAAGACAGACTTTGGAAAGTCAGTATGTGTCTGGCCCTCGATCCCAGGGGCCTTCCTATGCAGTGCTGGCTGGCCTCTGCCTCCCAAGTACAGGGATGAAAGGCTAGCCTGAAAGGTTTTTAAACCCTCTTTCTCTCTCTGTGTATGTGTAGGTTATGTACATATGCTACAGAGAATAGGATCAGATCTTTCTGGAGATTGAGTTATAGGTAATTAAGAGCTGCCTGACATAGTGCTAACTGAACTCAGATCCTCTGCAGCAGCATGTGCTCCTCAACTACTGAGCCATCTCTCTAGCTTCAAGAAAGTAAGTCTTATGTTCTTCAGATAACTCTGATATTTTTGACAAGTTAGATATTCAAAGGTCAAATATAACGAAACCTATTTAGAGTGTGGAAAATCCCAATAGATGTAAAGCATTTATCACTAAACACAGGCTAAACCCAAGAAAATGGTCAAATTACCAAGACTTTCAAACTGATACCCAGGAATGGTTTCTGGTAAAGACTGGAGCAGCAGCAATGAAAGGGAGGTAATGGTGGTGGGGGATGAGGAGTGAATCCACGTGCAGCCCTGACTTTAGAGGTTGGACAGGAAGAGCTCTGAAAAACTTGCTTGGATGTTCCTCCAGAGTCTCAAGCAAAAGCAAAATATGAACATTAACCTCTATTCTACAATGAAGAGTCCAAGAATGGCCACTGCTTACAGAGTCAACAATAAAGACTCGTGGAACGGGGTAGGCGAGTAATCTCAGCACTCAGCAAGCTGAGGCAGAAGCATGGGTTTGAGTACAAAATGGGCTGCACAATAAGTTTCAGGTAAGCCTGATGAGACCCTGTTTCAAAACCAAACTAAACCAAAACTCCAGAAATATTTTCCAGCCAGTTTGTGATCATCATAGTGTTCTTCATATTCCACCTTAAAATATTTGCAGTTATTTTAATTACCAGAAGCGATGAATCACTAAAATCAGACAGCTACTGTGTGTAAACAAAATTTCCAATTTTCAAGACTCCTGCATCAACAGACCACTCTAGCAAGGAAGTCACTCTACATGCTCAGTCACATCTTGACCTCAATGTGAAAACTTAAGAATGCATTTCAGAGGCCCAAACAGAAGCTGCGTTGGATTAAATGAGTTTAACAGGACAAATCCCAAACTCTCATTGTAGAGTCTGTCTCTACTTGAAGGAACTAACAGAACAGACTAAAACACTCATCCTTAGTTCCAGTCTACCTCAACAGCCATCAGCCAACTGTGCTAATCATTTGTCCTAGATGAGTACCTTGCTACTCTCCACCAGAATCATCAGGAGCAGTACAACCTTAGGGCTGTCCCTTGAGAAACTTATGGACTTTATGGCCTATTTGTTCACATTCGCTCCTCTTAAGTCTCCATTTAAATTCCCTTTGATACAGCAATGCTTTTGTGTGTTGTGTTAGGAAACTTATCAGAAGCATTACTACAAAAGTAAAAGAAAGAACTATTTACAATTCTCCTAAAAGGACGAGACTCCTCGAGAAGTTCCATCACGCCCATTTCTTTTCACCGCCATCTAGATGGAGTTAAGCTGACACGGCTGTGTTGGTACTGAGCGCTGTACGGGTGTGTGTGCGGTCCCTGTGTGGAGAAGGCCAGACGCTGACACTGGATGTCATCTTGCCACCTTGGGTCTTTTTGTTTGTTTGTTTGTTTTTGTTTTTTTTTTTTAAACAGTCTCCTGGGGCTCCCTGATTTAGGCAGACAGGCCCAGGTTCTGCCTGTTTCTGCCTGCCTCTGCTAGGGCTACAAGGACAAACCTACATATTTAAAATGATTTCTATAGATCCAAACTCATAGGTCTTCACACTTGAATATCAAACTATATACTGAGCCATCACAATAGTCCCCAAAAGCTGACATAAATTTAAAAACTTAATAAATTTCTGGTTAGCCATCATCTCTATGCACCCCCCAACATGCTATATATGCATGCAATAAAAGAGACTCCGAAGAGACTCTGAAGAGCTCACTGTGCCTACAACAAATGAATAATCACAAGGACTCATGCATGAGACGAGAAGCCACACAGTTAAGAGCATGTTACATGACAATCTCAGACACTGTTTCATGTATTAAAAAGGTGAAGCAAGCAGGAACAGAAAGCTGCTGCACTCTCCGAGACGCCAACTGTGCAAAAAGACAAACAAAGCGACCTTCTCTCATTTTACTATGTATAAAACTGGCCACATGTCACCACCAAACACTACTAAGTGGCAAGGTTGGGACAGGTAGAGAGGGTCAAATGCTTACAGCAGTAGTTTTCAACCCGTGGGTCACCATCCCTTTGGGGGTGGAATGACCCTTTCACAGGGGTTGTCTAAGACCATTGGAAAACACAGTCCGACAACAATAGCAAAATTACAGTTATGAAATAGCAATGAAAATAACTGTTATGGTGGGGGGTCAGCACAAGGCAAAGGACTGTATTAAAAAGGGTCACAGCACTAGGAAGGTTGAGAACCAGCGGCTGACAGGAATGGGTGGCTCCTGCAGGAGGATCTTGGCAGCACTGGCGATAAAGAGGCCAGTCTGACTTCAGAGGCCCTACTGAGTCATTCCAGTTCAACAGAAGAAAAGGGAGAGCAGCTGAGTCTTGTCAATTTCTTAAAACCTTTAGTTCTCAACAGACCCAGAAAAGACCAATGTTGCTACTCTTATTTTTCACAGGAAGTTAGGATATTTAAGTTGACTATACATGATACTGAAAAACAGCATTGACTAACTCCAGTTTTGTTTTTTTTAAAGCATATCAATGTAACCAGTAATAACGTTTTGTTTTATTTTTTTAAGAGAGCCCAACTTGGTCACAATCTCTCATTCCTCCTGCCTCCATATCCCAAGTGCTAAAACAAGTGGCATGTACTTCCATGTCCTATGCTAGCACTTAGAGGTATGCAGTCATTTTGGCAGAGCTTGTCATTGAGACAAGAAAGGTTATTCAATTCTCAGATAAACTTTGCTCGGTTCAATAGCTGTTTCTTTTAGCAAAAACAAAAATACAGTGCAGCCCATGTACAAGCCCTTCTCCAGTGTAATACAGTCCCTGAAACTTTGCCACGTGGCTGGGTTGGTGTCTAAGCACTGAGTAAGATTTAAAGCCACCTGTAGGATGTTGCTTGTTCCGTGGGACTTCTAAAGCAGCGCACTTAGCCTACACTTCTCAGAAAACAGGCACAGCAATCACCACACATGTTGGCATGGTACACTGTCATGTTGGTCTGAGACATGTTAGCAGCACAATAGGCATGCGACTTTGCCATTCAACTTGAGATCCAAACACAAACAGCAGCGACAAGCAATGTTCATGCAGTGCTCACGGAGAATCAGAGAGGGCACCACTACCTGGAGGGTCTGGACTTGCTGGCCTGAGGCGGATGCCACTTGGGCCTCAGTCTGCAACTGGACAGCAGTGACACCACCCTGCTGCTGAGAACAGGAACAGGAAAAGCTTGAAATGTATCAGGATGGAAATGTACAGCTCAAGACACAAGATCACTCTGAGGGAAAGGGAAAAATATCTAAAAAAACCTCATCCCACACAGGAGCTTTCAAAGGTACAGACTCCATATTCAAGCTGTCATGTAGCAAGATCTGTCCCCAGAGTGGACCTTACAACATACTTCTATGACTTAAAACACAAAACTTTATAATGCAGTTCTTCCTAGGAATTTCACCCTTAATATAAACATACACTTATGTTAAGGATCTTTTTATTTCCTTAGGTTCATAAGAACAAAAGCACCAGGTTTTAAAGACTTGAAACTACAACGAAGTGTTTCTGGGGCTTTAATGCATCTAGGAAGAAGGAACTGTAAGTAGAGATCCAAATTCCAGCCCCAGGAGGCCATTGCTTTTACATCCCCAGTGAAAACTTACTCCTATCCAATTGACTGCTTTAGAGGCAATGTTTTCAGAATGTCAACCTGACTTCCTATCCTGGGGACCCTCACAGGAGAGAGCCCCACCAACAAGGCTCTGCCCGTGGGGAGGCCCTCCAAGGCCCATTCTCTAAGGCAGTTCAGGAAGCTGCCAGCGCTACAGCAGAGTGTGGACAGAAAAAGGGCTAGGAAGCCACAGTATTCAGCTAATCCCTCCTTTAATTAACAGTAGCCCTTCTCCTTCATCAGTGGGCTTGAATTCACCATCAGTACTTCCTTCACCCTCCATACTGTTTTATATCAGTGAACCTCCATTCTGAGGAGAAAACATGCCAAGGACAACAGTCCTGGCCTATGATCAAAGAGAAACAATGTCTTTTTTCCAAAGCTTAGGAGTAGGGAAAAAAGAAGATTCACTACTATAAACCCAGGTAAAAGCATGAAAAATGTTATCTGTGCCTTAATTCAAACATCTGGCCAACTTTCCTGTGGAAGAAGCCAGCAGCAGGAGCTTCTCACTAATATTTACAGAGTAAGACTCAAATATAATTCTAATATTAAACCACAATTGTTTAAACAGATTCTACAGTAAATCAGAAACCAGTAGCCTGCCTGCAATCTGACAATTGTCTGTTGTGGCCAAACCCTTACTTTATCACAAGCTGGCATAAATAAGGGAAACAAGTAGACTGGGTGCAGAGAAAAGCAGAGAAGGTATTCTGACTTCAATGACCTAGAAAAGGCAATCTACTTTAAAGTGATTTTCATGAAAAACAGATGCCAGGTGGCAATAGACTGATTCATAGCGCAACACTAGTCAAGAGACCTAGGACTTTATAAGGTCTGACAGGGCCCACATACTTCCACAGAGTAAGCATAAGCCCGTTGCTGCATCACCAGCTGAGGTACTGTGGCGGTCAAAGCACACGTGTTCCCATACCTGTTGCTGAATCTGGCCAGCCTGCACCACGATCTGCTCAGTGGAACTATTGCTGTTTGTCGTATACTGCTCCATGGTCCGGCCACGTTAAGAGTCCTGAAGCTTTACTCTATAGATCCCAGGCAGCTGCCAGGTAGGGACTCCTATTAGACAGAGAAAGAAAAAGCCTAAAATGAGTCAATCAGGCACTCTTAAGATACTTACAATAACTTATTATTATGTACTATTTTCAGTATTTAGAATATGAAAGAATACCAGTAGGAAATGTTCATATATTCATTTTTTAAAAAAAGGACTACACAGCACAGACATAAAAATACAATGGTCAGCCCAGGTTTGGGCCACCCTGGGCTACACAAACCTTTTCTCAAAAAGACTAACCAATAGAAAAAACAAACAAAAACCATTTTATTTTATTTTCACACATTAAAAGAATTATCTACTTTGGCTCTGTTTCAGTCCACTGTGTATGTGTGTGTAGGGGGTGGGGGGTGAGAAATGCAGTTTTACATCATGGTGGCCAGGACATAGAGAATGAATATTCTAAGTGGCCAGGGCAGATATAGTTCCCAATAACAAACACTCCCCTCAGTAACCTACTTCTAACTAGGCCCCACCTACCAACGATGACATGATATAAACCCACCAAGGGATGAATCCACCTACAGAACCCTCAGGGTGCAATCCCCTGCAAACAACTCACTCACAGATATACCCAGGTGTGCTTCACTAATTTCCTGTTTCTTAATCCAGTTAAGCTAATAAAACGACCACCTTTCAGTATTACCAAAATAACACTTAGAAGCACTGTTAAACCATCTCTTGATGCAAGACCTACTTTCAAGGTAGCAGGCAGAGAATTTGTACCACACACTTGGGCCCAAACATGCAAGCTGGAAGTTGTTACTAAGTCCTTAATAAGATTTTAATAAGATTTTGCTTATAAAAATCTCTACTCTAATTGGGCCAGGGGGAGGGGGTGTCTTGTGCTTATAATCCCAAGGTAAGATAATGAGGAAACTGAGGTAAAATAATGACCACTGGAGTCAGGGCAGCCTTTACTATATAGTAAGTTCAGGACAACGTAGCCTCGAGTGAGATTTTTGGTTACAAACAAACTCCACCTTATATACAGAATCATTATTAATCTATTATAATTTATTAAAAACAAAACAAAGTTCCCAGATTTCCTGGGCATAGTGATGCAGGCCTTTAACGCAGCAGACAGATCCGAATTGAAGTCTCCACTGGGAGTTCCAGGCCAGCCAGGGCTACTTAGTGAGACCCTATTTCAAGCTGCATTAAGTAGCACTAAGTAGGAAAGCTCTAGGAAAGCTTTGGAAGTGATGCTGTAGTCGAGGATAACAAATACAAAGATATGGTATCAGCGACAGCAGAGACAATTAACACTTGGTGCAGCAGCACCTGTTTACTGTCCCAATACTCACTCTGGGCATCTAAAACACCTTTTAGTACCAAATTTTATATATAATATTCTTTGCATATTCACCCCGCAGCATAGCCTAAACAGTGAGCCCAAATGAGTCTTTTCTTAGTTGATTACTTCAGGTGTTTCTTAGAAATGAAAAGGCACGCAGCAATATTCAAGTGTGTGCCCAAACCGTGACATTAAAACTTACTTTATGTTCTATCTACTATACTTTCCCTGACACCTCTTCTAGTTGCCTTGTGGCCCTTTCTAAATACCCACATAAATATCCACTCACTCACTCCCACACAGGTAAAGCTAGGATTGCCCATGGCCTAGGAGAGAGAACATGTTTTTTGATTCTGACTTCTCTTGCTTAATGTAAAATGCATTAGTCATGGTTCTCTGGATGAAGAGAACGAAAAAAATAAATCAATATATATAAGGGGGAGGGAGTAGCAGAATGGCTTACAGGCTTTGGTCCAGCTAGTCCAACAATGGCTGTCTACTAAGAGATAGTCCAAGAATACAGTAGTTGTTGAGTTGGATGTCTCAGCTGGTCTTCAGTATAGCTCAGGAATACAAAAGTAGGCTCTAGCTGGTGAAGGAGCAAGAGCAAGCAGTCAAAGAGGGAGTTTCCTTCTTTCATGTCCTTTATACCAGTGGCCACAAGTAGAAGGTATAGCCCAAATTAAAGGTAGCTCTTTGTTGGAGTGATGTTTTTGTGTACTGTATGAAGATTATCCTTTTTACTGTATACTCAAATGCTGATTTCTGAGGTGGGGCAGATTTGACTACAAGAATTTTCATTTTTACCAAGCATTTCCTGTCTCAGTGTTGTGTAGATATTGTTAATAAAGAGCTGAACAGTCTATACTGGGCAGTAGAGCTAAGGAGGGACTTCTGATCCCAGTGAAGGGAGGGGGAGCCTCAATTGGGGACAATGAAAGTGGAGTCACCATCAAAACAGATAAAGGAGGTGCCAGACAAGATTAAGACGGCAGATAAGGGCCACATGGCTAAAAGTAGGCCAGGCCAGTGTCAGAAGATCTGAGTATCTGCCCAACTATTAGAACCCAAAGCTTTTAATAAATATAAAGATCAGGCATAGAAAAAAAAAAAAACTTTACATTCTACAGATTTTCCTACCTCAAAAGATTGGTATTAAAGATGTCTTCCCACTTCAAATTATTCAATCAAGAAAAATTCTCTGGGAGGAAGGTGGGATGGGGGGTGGGGGGACAAGGGAGGGGACTACAGCTGGGATACAAAGTGAATAAATTAATTAAAAAAAATTCCTCACAGGTGTACCTAGCCCCTTGGGTTTTAGTTAATTCTAGATGTTGTCAAGTTGATAACCAAGAATAGCTATCACATAAAATTTTCCGATTTATGTTTTTCTTGCAAATTTCATTTTTATGGCTGTATAAAATTCCATTTTACATATCCATGGCATTTTCATTATCCATTCCGTTGATGACATCTAGGTTGGTTCCGTTTCCTTGTTATTATGTAAAGAGCAGCAGTATCTCTGAGGTAGCATAGAATCTTCTAGGTACTGGGTCACATGGTAGCTCTATTTAACTTCTTGATGAAGTGGTATGGCTGGGTTACATGGTAGATCTATTTCATTTCTTGAGACCTCTGCAACTCATTTCCACAAACCAGCAGTGTAAATAAATAAGGCTCTTCTTCCTATATCCTCAATAGCATTTGTCAGTCTTTAGTTTCTGACTCAGGTAGGAAGGTGGGTTAGGTAAGTTTTAATGTGCATTGCCTTGGTGGCTAAGAATGTTGGTCACTTTTAAGCTACTGGCCCTCTGCTGCTTCTGTAGAACTCATCTAATGACTTGTAGTTCTAGGGCTGGGAAGATGGCTCAGTGATAAAGTACTTGCCTCACAAGCATGAGGACCTGAGTTTAATCCCAGAATGCCCAGAACACTGGGTGTGATGATGAGTTTATAAGGCTGGGGTTGGGGAGGAAGGGACAGCACAACCCTTAGGGATCCAGTTCAGCTTAATTGGTGAGTCCTATACCAATGAGAGAACTTGTCTCAAAGGAGGTCAGCTACCCTGCGGATGAGCAGTTCCCTTCAACAAACACACTAATAATTTTTGCAGATATTAACCATGTGTCTAAATTACGTTGGCATTCTGTAGGCTTTTCACTTTGCTAAATCTTAATTTCACAAAAGCCCATTTGTCCATTCTAAAGACCCCAGTGACACTGGGTCCTACTCAGAAAGTCCGAATCCTTTACTGCTATACCACCATGGACACGCCTGACCTCATGTGTGACCTCAGAAGCCAAGTAAGGTCAGGTCGATCAGTCCTCAGTACTTGGATGGGAGTGCATTCTTTTCTAGGTCTATATTTAAGTGGCACCCCCCCGCCCCCAGTAATAACTTACTCTTAGTGATAAAAAGATGAATGAGATTGTGGAGAGATGAACCAGCATTTAATAGGGTAGGTGGCACACATAGAGTCTAAGTACTAAATACATGGGTATTCATAACACACTTTCAATTTCACTGTCTGTAAATTGCTACATTTCAATATTGGGAAAAATGTTCAATAAAAATAATAATCAGGCTTATCACCTATAACCAAACAGACCACTATGTCTTTAGTGTGGGTTCCACACAGATTTCTGGCTCTCACCTGAACTTACAAAGACTTGCAAAGGGAAGAGAATATGAATGGCAAAGTAAATGTAATCACTACCTTATTAGCTATATATGCAAACTTGATTGCTACTTTACGAGCATGTGTTCATTGTATAAACAATGGTTTTAAAACTATGTATGTAACCTGTCTGGACCACTCTGACACCATTTTCCACTTTACAAATACTATCCCAGCAGTGTGTGGGGGTGCACACCTTATCCAGGCGCTCAGGCAGGCAAGCAGGAGGGTTCAAGGCCAACCTGGTCTACAAAGTGAGTCCAGGACAGCCAGGGCTACAGAGAAGCCCTTTGTCTCAAAAAAGCAAAACAACAAAACTTCCAAATAATCTTGTCTTTATCTAGAGTATGCATATAGAGAACATTATTTCGTATTTGTCTTTCTCAATGTTTTCTTTCCCTTACTATAATGCTCCATTTCCTTTTAAATGACATACTTTCGTTCTTTGTGTATAAGAGTATATATAATTTTTTTCTTTATCACTTCACCCATCTGTTGGCACCTACAGATTCCCTAACTTGGTGGTGAAGGCACAGCAATGAAGTGCAGTATGTTGACTCTGATTTCTCCAGGTGTACGCCCCAAGAATAGTATAGCAGGATCTCTCTCTCTCTCTACACACACACACGCACACACAATCTATTTATCTTTTTTGAGAACTTGTATACTGTGATGGCCTTTCTAGGTGTCAACATGATAACCTGGTATTAACTAAAACCCAAGCAACTGGGTATATCTGTGAGGAATTTTTCTAAATTAAATCATTTGATGTGGGAAGACCCATCTTTAATCTGGCTACACCTTCTGGTGACAGCCTATATATAGGAAATGGTAGAAGGAAGCTTTTGTTCTTTGCCTGTTCGCCCTTGCTGGTAAATTTATTCCTTCACTGGCCATACACCTACTTCTTCCAGATTCTGGCATGTACTGAAGACCAGCTGAAATATCCAGCCTCATGAACTGAACAACTACTGGATTCTTGGATTTTGTGTTGGCAGACAGCCATTGTTGGAGTACCTGGGCTACCTGTAAGCCACCTTAATAACACACAGTCAGTCTTTCTCTATGTTCTATTACTCAAGAATCCTGACACACACACACACACACACACACACACACACACACACACACACCAAGTTCCATATTCTTTCAATAGTGGCAGAACTAATGCATACTCCAACCCATGATGCTTATGAGCTATTCCCAATTCCCATCCTCACCAGCAATCTCTTATTTTGATGACAGCTATTCTGACTGCAGTAAGAAGGAATTACAGTATAGCTTTGATTTGTATTTTCCTGATTGCTCACTATGTTATTTTTTAATACATCTACAGGCCACATTTTTTTGAGAACCATCTTGATGATTTGCCAGTTTATTGGTTAGATTATTTTGGTTTTTAATTTCTGAATTCTTTCTATATTCTGGATATTAATGCCATCAGATGAAAAGCTTCGGCTAAGTCTGCAGATTTTTACACCAGCCTTTTCTGCTGAGCCAGTTGACTGAGATGGTTGTTGAGAGACTCCAGGTACAATATGAAAAACAGTCAAATTAAGAGGCTCCACTAGGAAAACCCCCATTTCCCTTGTTTTATTTTGTTGCTTTTTGGGGGGTGGGGTAGGGGGGTTGTCAAGGCAGATTTCTCTGTAGCCACGGCTGTCCTGGAACTCTCTCTGTATAGATCATGCTGACCTTGAACTTAGAGCTCCACCTAACTCTACCTTCTAAGTGCTGGGATTAAAAGTGTACACCACCACTGGCCGCCCATGTTTCCAAGTTTACCTGGTGTCTAACACACAATATATCCATCTTGGAACTAATAAAATTATGGTTACAATATAAACAAGCACAGCCTCCATTCCTAAGAAACTCTTGGTAACAGTAGCCCAGACAGAGAACAAAATCAGAGTTCCTTGGGCACCAGAAAGGGAGGTGGAGAGATTGCCCAGACCAGCTAGACCTTCTGCGGGTGTTTTCAGCCTTTTCCTAAAGAGGGGATTGTACAGGTGTGAAGAGCTTTAAAAACTCAGCAAACATACACACATACAATGATTACACTTTGATGTAAAAACATATAGTAACATTCTCTGTGTTTCAACACTTCCACTAGCCCTATGACCCCTTCCTATAAAACTTCCTTCTTGGCTAAATTTCCATAAATATGCACTTTATCAGATTAACATGTAGAATGGAGCTTGACTTGGGCATGAGGACAAGAATGATTTTAACACTTAGATTTAACATGTTTATCCTGCTGATACAAATGCTCCACTCTCAGGCCATTGGAACCTACTGTACTTTGAAGGGTAAATCTAGCAGCCATTCTGCATTAACAAAGGAGGGAGCTTGAGGCAGGACCCTCAGGCTGCTCACGGTGCCCACTTCTTGGCTCTAGTGGTGCTACATGCTCCTGTTTTTGTCAACCTCAGCCAGTAGAACTGCAACACAACCTGACACTGCCTTTCCGCAAGCACTTCTTTGCCCAGGATTAGGCTAGAATTGAGCCAGCTGGAGTTAGTCTGTCTAGTTCTCCCACAAAACTATGAATGTGTGTTTCAAAAGTGAGAATATGAGTATGAATGAAAACGGATTTATTCTGGCCTTTGAGACATTCTCTTTCCATAGCATTTCCTGCCCATTTAGAAGGCACAGAAGCAGTTGGCCAGCACTCACAGGGGTAATCTCTCTGAAGAGATTCAGAAATTCAACTACAATTAGCGTGCAATCACCATAGGCCATCTGACTTGACAGTCATGAGCAAACACCAAGCTAGAACCTTTGAAGGCTCCAAATGTGTTCCTATTCTCCACTAATGATGTACCATGAATTAAACACTAAGATTCTAACTTCAAGGAGGCTTTTAAGTCTACAAAGGATGAAACATGTACATTAAACTGCTTAGAGAAAGACAAAGTAAACAAGAGTTTAGAGGACAGAGGCTTTTCCAGGTGAGGATAAACCAAGGAAAACACTAGAAGGTGTTACAGAATTAGATTTAAGTGTGAGAAGATCTTATCCAGGTGATGATAGTCTATGTGAAGTATTCCAAACAAAGGGAAAAGTCTTGAGCTATGTCTAGAGAAATCGAGAGCCTGCACTACTTAAATAATGCAGATGAACCAGCGGCGGTTCCACAGGCTCAAGCAACAGTGAGCAGAGGATAACTGCCTTTTGTCAGCAAAAACATTTGGCAGTTCTGAAGTGGCCAGATGCTTCCATTTTTAAAATAGCAACCTAGGTTAGACACCCAGTCCAAAGACAAGTATATTTTTAAAAAGCCTGAAGCCATGCTGATGCTGTCCCTTTTACTATTGCAAATGTAAGAAATAAGCTCAGTTTCTAGTTAACTTGACAAAAGCTAGGGTCTTCTGAAATGAGGGAACATCAACTGAGCTTCCGTAAGACTGGCCGGCCAGTAGGAAGGGCGGGCTTTCTTGATGAATGTGGGAAGGCACAATCACTGCAGGCCTGCTGTGGTATCACCTCTGCACAGGCTGGAGCTTAAGACAGGCTGTTTCAAGGAGAGGATCAAGCCAGTAAACAGCACCTTTCCATGCGGCCTCTGCCTGAGTTCCTGTCTTGTCTGCCCTTCTTGATGGTCAATAAAATAAACTTCCCCAAGTTGCTCTCGGTGTGGTGCTTATCACAATAGAAAAGTGGGATTTAGAAAGCAATTTAAACAAAGAAACACTCTTCCTAAAATTTGAGTACAAGTTGTTCCACTTGGAAGAAGCACTGGATTCGTTTTCTCAGACCCACCATTTAAGAGTAAAGTAAATCTGATCTAAGAAACCACACACAGCAGGGAGTGTTGGCACCCTGTGTGCTGAGGCAGGCGGATCTCTGTGAGTTCCAGGCCAGCCTGGTCTACATGGGAGTCCAGGACAGCCAAGGCTACACAGAGAAACCTCATTTCACAAAAAAAAAAAAAAAAAAAAAAAAAAAAAGGAAAAACCAAACCAGATACAGAAAACAGGTTTTTGGCATCATCTGAGTAAAAACAATTTCCCTCTCTTAGATAAAAAATGTCCTCTTCTCCCCTCCTCCCCCAATTCAGCCATTATTATAAGGGTAGAATCCTTAAACCAGCAATTTTTTCCCCCAAAGTTTGGGGGACAATCCACTCAAGGTCACTTTTAACCTCCAGTCAAAATGGTTTTCAAACTTTTTTTTGTACGATCTACAAAGGCAAAAAAAAAGGAAAAAAAAAATCTACAAAGGCTTTTTTTTTTTTTTTTTCAAACTGGATTTTCCCGCCTAAATTCTCAGGGCCCTTTCTGCAACCAATAGCACTATCAGCTGTCTACACGTTTTCTTCTGCAAGGACATTATCCCCTAACGCCCAATCAAAAGTGTGGCGATGAAAACTAAATGGGCTTTCTCATTCAAACGACACTTCTCGCTATTGCATTAGACCCCTATATAACACTAACCCCCAGGTATTTATTTTCAACAGTCAATCTCCACCGAGAGGCACGATTCCAGCCTCTACCCTTTCTCCGCCTTGCAGCATTTGGATGATACCCGCCAAAGATTAATGGCTAACAGCCCACGGCAGACTTCCTCTCGCCCGTAGGTGGCTAGGAAAAAAAAAAAAAATCTCAGCAAGTTTTTAAGCATCAGCTGAGAAAACGTTCACACGGGGTTTGTAAGTGTATTAGAAAAACTAGGCACAAGTGGGCTGGGCTAATGAGTGGAGCCTAAGACTGATACAAAAAGGTTAAATCGGCAAGCCTTCGAAGGAGGAAGCTCACGGAAAGAGCCTTGAGTAGGAACCGCGAGATGTGTGTCCCAATCATTAACAGCGCGGAAGGTTGTCCTGCAAGAGCAAGGTTCCAAACACCGCGCAAAAAGAGGAAGGTTAGGCTCCAGCACGGAGGTGTGCCGGTCCGGCGGGCCGAACGGGGCGGGGAAGGGAGGAAATGACGAGCCAGAAAGGGGTGGTAACGGCGCCGGGCCGGAGCCACGGGATGGCGGGCCGGGAGGAGGGGTGCGGCGGGCGCACTAACGGCCCCGGGGTCCGTGTTGGGAGGCCGGGTCGCGCGTCTCCGCCCGGCCTCGCTACGGATCTATAACCCGGCCTGCGCAGGGCTTAAGGGTCCGGGGGCCTCGCCGGGGCCCGGAGCGTGTGGACACAGGAACAGCTCGTAGGGAGGAAGCCGGAACGACATAGAAAACTGCCACGGCTCGTGGCTGGGCGCTCAGCCAGCTGCCCTCCCGGGACCCGAGGACCCGGGGCCAGGGGCGCATCCGCCACCGGCGCCCGGAGGGGATCCCGCCACGGACCGCCCCGGCGGGCCTCCCCAGGCTCCGGGCCGGTGCGGCTGGCCACCCAACTCCGGCAGCCTCGGCTCGACTCCCGGGCTCGACGGACGCCTGGGCCTCTCCTGAGTGGTCAGCGAGACCCGCCAATCGGGGCGCTGGGGCCGGCTCTGGGCCGCTGGATATTGGCTCCTTATACTCACCGTGCCTCGCTCCCCCGGTTCGCTGCCCGCGCTGATTGGCTCCAGTACCGGACCCCGAAACCCAATCAGAGGCTCCAGCCGCCGCCGCCGCCGCCACTGCCGCTGCCTCGCAAAATGGCGAATCTGAACAAAGGCGAATCGGGCCTCCCTCCAACCGCCTTCGCGCAAGCGCCTTTGAGACCACGCCCCATATCCCGGGTCAAACTGGCCCCGCCCCCTGGAAGGATCACTGCGCAGGCGTCCCAGAGGCCACGCCCACTTCCTGGATCTGACACCGTCTTCCGCCAGAGGACTACGCAGGCGCCTTCTAGAGGAGCCACGCTCTTTTTCTTAAGCACCGCCCAGCGTGATATACTACGCAGGCGCTAACACGCCCGTTTTTTTTTTTTTTTTTTTTTTTTCCCCTATTGTCCACCATTTGTAAGTGTCGACTGGGACACACACCCTTGGGGCCAAATGCGCAAGCGCTCTTCTTCTCAAATCGGGGTCGATATCTTGGTACGCATGCCTGAGCGGCGGCGGGAGACTACGGAGTTTACCGCCGGAAATTCTGAAGCCTTTACCATGGAGAGAGAGCCGGCCCGTCTCTCTAGCTAGAGAGGCTTACTTCCGCCCCGTTAAGGGATGGGGGCGGCCATCTTGAGTGCGTGCAATTAAAGGCCTTGGCGGGATTGGTTCCGTGTCCGGGCTTTTCTGTTGCTCCGAGGGTTTCACCTCGAACCCTTCCCTGCGTGGAGGAGGGCCTGCTGATGCCCGATTCCTTTGCAGGTGAAGGATGACCCCAGCACGCACTTCTACGGGACCCACGACATACCCTTCTTAGGGTAGGGGGAGAGAAAGGGAAGCTATTTCAGACTTTCCTTCCTGCCCCTCCAAGAGACGTGGTGATCTGAGAGGCTGTCCTCCCCGCTGGAGCTCAGCACACTTCAGTTCCGTACACTGATTGCCGCTCCTTCCTTATTTCCTCCTTAGTCATATCCTCTGGGAAAATACCAGACTTTCCTAAACCTACCCTGCTAGGAGGCTAGAAGAGGGCTCGAAGTAAGGAGATGTGTCTTGGGGCCGCCTGTGCTTCCGCTCCTGGAAAGGTGTGGATACACGTTGAGGAGGTGGGAAGAGCTGAGTGGGGGTGTCAGGGCAATCCGAACACGCTGTGTTCAGGCCGCCTGAGCGTTTTCACTTTCTTTTCCTTTTCATTAGCAGAAGAAACTCTTAAATTCTGGAAATAGTGACTCAGTATCATGGCCAGCCGCCTTAATGAAGATCCAGAAGGAAGTCGAGTGCGTAACGGCTATTAAACTTATCGGTGAAGTGAAATTCAGAGTAATTGAGGTCAAAAGCATAAACACTTTTTAATTAAACCAATAATTGGATTCCCAACTCCCCCCTCCGCACCCCCCGTTTGTTTCTCTGTAGCTGATTTACTTAGGAAAGGCTAATAGAATCCTAGGCAGAGATCATCCATCACTTTCCTCTTACAGATAATTTAATATATGGTAGTTTAACTCCGTAAGATGGGAAGGTTTGGCCTTAAGTCAGAGTGGTGAAGCAGAGAAGAGGCAGTGGGAGCGGGGCTCTTGTTGGAGATCCGAAAAGAGCAATATTCTGTTTTTAACAAACCTCTTCTTTCCCTTTGCACATTTTAGATCACTTATGTAAAAGGAGATCTTTTCGCATGTCCCAAAACAGACTCTCTAGCCCATTGTATCAGTGAGGATTGTCGAATGGGTGCCGGAATAGCTGTTCTCTTCAAGAAGAAATTTGGAGGAGTACAGGAACTGTTAAGTCAACGTGAGTTTTGAGAGCACCGTAGCCTGCCTGTTCCATGCTTGCTGAAGCCTGGTTTGCTCTTCCATTATACTCTGTATATATGTGCATTCAGAGAGATTTCTAGGGACCAAGTAAAACTTTTAACTTTTCAGATTTTTTTTTTTTTAACTTCCTCACAGGAATCGCTTTTGGTTTGGATCTTTACTCTCCCTTTTTTTTTTTTTTTTTTTTTCTGTGTGTGAGTTTGTATTGTGCAGATACATGTCTGGAGGCCAGAGCTTGACACCACCTGTCTTCATTTGCTCTCAACTCTATTTATTTATTTATTTATTTATTTACTTATTTACTTATTTATTTGCTCGCTCTCCACTCTATCTATATTTATTTATTTATATTGAGACAGTGTCTCATAATGAACATAAGAGTTTGTCCATTTAGCTCCCAAACCCTCAATTTTCCTTCCAAAATGTTTCACTTCTCTCAAACCTTTGGTTAACTGTAGGGCATATCAAGTTCCATATGTGTTGCTTAGAGGTCAAGATCCTGTACTAAATATTGCTCTATGTTATTTATTTGTTTGTTTGTCTGTTCATTATGAAGCAGAATCTTCTTGCCTAGCCTAGGCTGGCCTGCCACTTGCTGTATAGCCTAAGCTTGTCCTGAACTCTAAGCAGCCCTCCTGGCTCAGTCTCCTAAATACTGACATTACAGGCATGAGCCACGACACCAGGCTTCTTCGATTTATTCGTCAAAAAGGGGTTTGGGCTGGAAATGATAGCAGGCACCTTTAATCCCAGTGATTGGGATATAGAGTGGGGTGGATCATTGTGATTTCAAGACAAGCTGATCTACATCAGGAGGCCAACCAGGGCTGTATACCTATGAAGAGTGGTTTGGAAACCACTTTACAGACCCCCTCCACCACTTTCTGCTAGTGACTTTAAATCAGGACTATGCATTACCGTCCGCCTGGTGCTTCTGAAATGATCTCTCACCATATTTTGGGCCCGTCCCTCTTCAGAACAACTCCTACTCCAGACTTACAGGAAGTGTACCATTCATTATGACTCCAGGCGTGGACAAAGCAACTTCTTACTGAGTTTGATTACAGTTATTTAAAAGGATGACATTGAGCCTGGTGTTAGTGCATGCCTTTAATCCCAACACCTGGGAGGCAGAGGCAGAGGCAGGCGGATCTCTGAGTTCAAGGCCAGCCTGTTCTACAAAGCAAGTTCAGGACACCCAGGGCTGTTACACAGAAAAACCTTCCTTGTCTTGAAAAAAAGAAATCAAATCAAATCAAATGATGACGTTGTTTCTGAATAAAAAATGTAATAACTAAAGGACTTGAAATGTTTCTCATAGCAGAGTGTGGTGGCACATACCTCCAATCCCAGCATTTGGGATGCAGAGGCAGGTGGATCTCTGAGTTCAATGGCTGCCGGTCTACAGACCAAGTTCAGGACAGCCAGGGCTATACAGAGAAGCCCTGATGGTGTGGTTGGGGCTGTTCCTCATAATGTTTAATATAACTGTGAAAGGGCTGTTGTTGGGACTGGGGCCATGGGTCATTCTTGTAAAGAGCTTGCTGAACAAGCATGAGGGTGTGAGCTCCATCTTCAGAGCCCATGTGTTTTGTTTTATTTTTTAAATTAGATAGAAATGAAGATAGATAGATAGATAGATAGATAGATAGATAGATAGATAGATAGATAGATAGAGTGCTCTGTCTTCACAACACACCAGAAGAGAAAATCATATTCTATTGCAGATGGTTGTGAGCCACCATGTGGTTGTTGGGAATTGAACTCAGGACCTCTAGAAGAGCAATCAGTGTTCTTAACCACTGAGCCATCTCTCCAGCCTCTTTCTTTCTCTCAACCTCTCTCTCTTTCTCTCTTTCCTTTTCTGTGTATAGACATGTTTGCTCCTAATCCTGGGGAGATGGAGGTCGATGGATCTCTGGGACTTGCTGGCCAGCCAGTAGAGCTGGTTCAGTGAACTCCAGTTTCAGTGAAAGACTGTCTCAAAAAGAAAAAAAAATAATAAGGAAAAAAAATTCAAACATTAGATGGGTTGAGGATGCTGTTGAGATGGCGTGTGTATCGCTTTTGAAGATGACCTGAATTTGGTTCTTAACATCCACATTGGGTGTGTCACAATTCCCTGTAACTCCGGTTCCAGGGGATTTGATGTCTCTGGCTCCCAGAAGTGCACTGTACTTGTGCATACATGCACACACCATTTAAAAAATAGTAAAAGTAAATTCTTTTACTGATTAGATGGAAAGTATTTGAGAAAGACATTCAACATTGTCCTCCAGTCTCTGTGCTTACCTATATGTGTGCGCACACACACACACACAAATACCTTGTTGAATAAATATGTTTAACAAAATTTGAATAGTGGTACATTCTAAGACAATTTCTAGACAGTAGTGTTAATGTGCTTTAGGTGGGCAGGTAACAGTGCATTCAAAATCAGGATAGGTATACTCAGGTCTACAAGAATTTTTTTATCATAAGTGTGGAGATGGACATTTCTGGGGTTCCCCCCCCTTTTTTTTTTTTTTTTTTTTTTTACTATTAAATAACTGTTTTTCTTAGAAAAGAAGTCTGGAGAAGTGGCTGTTCTGAAGAGAGATGAGCGATATATATATTACTTGGTAAGATGGGGCCACATCTTCATCCCGTTAGATTGGCAGATAGATGGACTTCCTGGCATTGGTCATAATGCTCCATCCTATACAGCAAAGGATGCCAAACATCTCCCCATTGTACATCAGCTCAGCTCTGGAAGTGTTGGCTGCTTGGAGCACTGAGTTAGATATACCAGGCTGTGCCACAGTTTCATGGTGAGTCCACCATAGGCCTGTGGTCTAGGAGTGGCAGACCTTATGGAGATTCACTGCCCTTTCTTAGGCACAGGGAAAGGAAACCCTGTCTCGAGAGATTTTCCTGAGGGCCTTTTCTCTGATCTTCCCTGACAAATGTAGAGGCACAAAATGCCCTGCTCCTCTCCTTCCTGCTGGAGGAAATAAGGGATTCTTTATCATCCACATAGTGTTTGGACCTAGAAGAGATACGGCTTCCTTACAGCTGGTGGGGGGTGATCTAGAGCCAGCCCACACAAGCCTTTCTGGCCAGCCAACAGAGCCGGGAAACACTAACCTGTAAAGTGCTGTGCTAAAAGCCAAGAATGATTTTCAGTTAGAAGAACTATCCCTTGCTGTTGCTTTCGTAGGGAAACAAAAAGCAAGGGAGCATGATTTCTGAATGAATAGAAGGGCCCACCTGGCCACCTTGGCACAAGTGTGCCCCTTACCTGGCACACACTTCACCGGTGACCTTGCTTAAGCATGGCACAGCTTTCCGGTGCTGTGGTTTTCCTTATTACATGGTAGATTCTGTTTCTGAGTCACTGGTGGATTTTCCTGTGGCTGCAAAGTGTCATTTTTGCTGCAGATGAATTGGGAGAATTAATCTATAAAAATATGCTTATTCTTTGAATCTTCAGGATGTAGAGGAATCTGGTGGCTTTCTCATCATCGAATACGTTCTTGGGAGGTGGGGCTAATGAGAGTTTGAATCCTCTTTTGTGTTCAGATTACAAAGAAGCGGCCTTCACACAAGCCGACGTATGAGAACCTACAGAAGAGTTTAGAGGCCATGAGGTCCCATTGTTTGAAGAATGGAGTCACTGACCTCTCCATGCCCAGGCAAGTAAATTCTGAATTGATTGGGGAAGTGTAGTCTCTAACTTCTAGGCCATGCCAAGAATGTACACAAGTACAGGTAGACAAGGCCCAGCTTTTCAGAGCTACCTGCCAAGTTTTCCTGAGGCCACAGCATGGCTGTTTTCTACCTTGAGTTGAATGAATCAGATAAGTAATGAAAGGCACACACCTTCCGTGGCTCCTCAGTGGGGAGTGCCCTTGGCCTTCAGACACATCTGCTGATTTCCTGCCATTGTGTTTCAAGTGTTGGCCTCAATCCTGAAGTAGTGGAATCACAGATTGGAGACTGAGTAGCTGCCATTCCTCTCAGGCTACTTCTGATCTCCTTAAATTGAATTTTGTGCCAGGAAAGTTGTCAGTGATGTCTGCCTTTTATGCTGCATGTCTGCTTGTGGTTCTTGTGGGTAGCAGGCAGGGCCTGTCCCTGATGTCCCTTTGAGGACTTAAATGATTTTGGGTGTTCAGTGGGCCGTTGCTTCCTGTTGAGGAACTGGTCCATACCCCTTCTCTTTTTAGCACCTTAGTAGTTTTCAGTCAGTGCTGACCACATTCAAGCAACTTTCAATGTGTCCACACCATCTCCCTTTTTTTTAAAATGTGCATTTGTATTTTGCCTATATACATATCTGTGTGAGGGTGTCTGATCCCCTGGGCCTGGAGTTACAGATAGTTGTGAGCTGCCATGTGGTTGCTGGGAATTGAACCCCTGCTGCTTTAGAAGAGCAGCCCATCCCCTTATCCCTTTAATATACTTATGGCTTATGCATCACTAACACTTTTTTTTTAAATTGCTGTTCAGGAGCTTGATTGTCTTGCTGTAAATTTTAAGCTTCCCCTTTGTCCCCAGGCCTGTTGAGGATCAGTACAGTGTCATACTAGAAGAAAGGTGTCAGGCAGTACAGTTGACCGGCTGATTGCAAAGACCTCACTCTTGGACCACAGCCAGCATTTCTGGACATTCATTTTTTGACTTCCTCTGTAAAGGTCCTCTCCTTGCATCTTCCTTAACATTCTGTTATCTTAAGTGTGTTTTAAACCACATACATTTTCCCATCTGCTGAAGATAGTTTTCATAGAAAGAGGGTAACTGGGCTAGTGGCCAAAGAGTGAAAGAATTAGAAATAATTAGAAAGCAAAGAGATATGACGGGCGCCTAAGAGCTGTCTTGAGTGGCTTCACACGAGTCGACTCGTAGATTCTTCATTGAGGCTGCCTATAGGTGTGAGCCCAGATAACTGCTTTGGATAGAGCTCAAAGGAAGAGGAAAGGAGGAGGAGTCTCCTAAATACTTTAATCACACCGATGGAGGGGTTTTTGTTTTTCACAATCTAACCAAAAGACTAAGAAAAGATGAGATTTTTGTTTGTTCGTTTTCAGGATTGGATGTGGCCTGGATCGTCTGCAGTGGGAAAATGTATCTGCGATTATTGAAGAAGTGTTTGAGTCAACAGACATCAAGATTACCGTGTATACACTCTGAACAGATGACGATTCTGGATAGGCCCAGTGTTTTGTGTCAATCCCTACTTGGCCGTAGGACTAAGCAATTGTAGGACTTAATGGCCAGAGGACAGTCGGTGTGAGGGAATCTTTGTCACAGATAAGATGAGGGCTTCTGTATTCCAAAAGGATAAGGTGGGCACTGCGCCCAAGCAGTGTTGCTGTATTCTTTTGCAGGAGGGTGGTCTGTCACTAACCCAGGAAACCAGATAGGTAAGCTGTTCTAGGGCCTGTTTTGTTTGTCCACTACTGGGTTTGTTTGGCTGGTCACTAGGTGGCAGCATTGGTTCTAATTCTTTTTCTTTTAAAGAGACATTATGGGAAGGGTAACCTTTTGAGATTCTTCACGTCTCTTGTGTTTGTACACTTGGTGTTAGTTTGATGTCATCAAAAATCATCATAGGAAAGGGTATGGTTGTTTTAGTTACAAATATCACCAAGGAGTTTGTGGTGACAAGAATGGAACAATAAACCTTTCTCTTAGGTTCACTGAGATTTGTGTGCAAACACGTCTGTTTTCTGGATCTTGCGGACAGGCTAACAGGGTTCACTGGGAAGAGCAACAAGGAAGGAGGGAAGCATGGACAAGGATTGTGTCCACCTGGCTAGAAGGCAGGGTTAGAGTGTGGGGGCTGTTTTCTGTCTGCTGCATAGTTGATGCGATTGACATCTCTGGACTTAACAGGAGGCCAGTGAAATAAATTAAAGACTCGGTGGCAAGGTTGGGTTCCAGGTTTGTTTTTACCTCCCTAGATTATGGCATGCAACTAACTGGAATCTCAAGAGAACCACAGCAGTTATTGGTCCCTCTTCTAAAACTAAGGACAAGCCTCATGTGTATGGTAGGAGTATAAAGCCCATGGATTCAGCCAGTGTTCTGTTACTAGAGCTATTGGGAAAACTAGGAATCCTCCCTATTCCGCGATGGTAATAGTTAACACAACCAGACAAACCAGAGTTTGTATTCTAGTGTGAATGCTGGTTTTTCAGGAATGGGTGATTCTTTCAGTGTGGAAAAAAAAAACAAAGCTGGGCATGGTGGTGCACACCTTTAATCCCAGCAGAAGCAGGTGGATCTTGGTGAGTTCAAGGCCAATCTGGTCTACAATTTGCATCCAGGACAGCCAGAGCTACACAGAGAAACCCTGTCTCAGAAACAAAACAAAACAAAACAAACAAAAACGCCTAACTTAGAAAGGGCTTGTGGAAACATGGTCTAAGTACTTGAGACACATGATCTTACACTGCAGCCTGACAAGAGGCAGCAGTTTCAAAAAGTTTCACTTTTGTATCTAGGTGCTGTGGGGGAAGTCCATTACTGACTTACACCAAAGCTTTTATTATATCTTATTTGACTGTGGCAAATCTTTACTTTCCTTCTCTACTGTGGATTAAATCTGTGGCCTTTCATGTTAGACTCCCTCTCCAACCTGCACTCTACGGAAGCATCCTATTGCTTGGTCGGACCATTGCCTTTCTAAGCTTCCCTTTCTTTTAAGGGAATTAATAGTTAATAGTTAATTTTCGTCCGGTAGCATGATTGACTGTCAGTGACTTTCTGTGCCTTGGTGGGGATGTGATCAAGTACCTTGCGGTCAAATTCCAGTGACTTATCACAGATGATGCCTGAGGAAAGGAGAGCAGGCCTGATAACAGAATGGGCACAACTGCTGTGGAAACCCAGTTAGAGTCTGGCTGACCCCCGAACATGCAAGTGTGATTTCACTCCTGCAGAGTACTCTGACGACACTTGCCACCATCCTGTCATCATTTCCAAGTGCTGCTTTTTGGAGTCTCAAGGCGTGTCTGAACATTTACATTTGCTTGGTCATTGAGATGTGGATGTCTGATAAAATTCCATGAGGCCTTGTGTTCCCCAACTGCATTATCCTCAAAGGAAAGGAAATGTTCTTCTTTGCGAATAATCCCAGGAGAAAATGTTTCTTTCATTTTTCAGCCGTGCTGGGGATGGAATGAGAGCCTTCCGTGTTCAACCTGCTGGCCAACCCATAAAGCTCTGCTGCTGATACCTTATTTGAATCAGTCTCCTGCCTGCCACTGGGTAGACCAGGTTGGCTAGCCCACACACCTCCACAGGGTTCCTGGTGCGTCATCGTGTGTGAAGATTACAGACTCAGGCTACTGCGTCCTGCTTTACTTGGGTTCTGGGGGTCTGAAACCCGGTACTCAAGTTTGAAGCAAGAGCCTTACACATGGAGCCGTTGCCATCTCCCCAGCCCTCAAGAGGAAATATTCTAAGGTCAGGACCATGGTGAGAAGTCAGCCTGGGAGAGTTAGTTCTTCATCATCAAACTGGCTTTATCTTCCTAATGTCATCACTTGGTTCTTGGCCTACAGTATTCCTGTGCCCAGTTCCATTGTCTGTGGAACTTTCCAATGTCCAACTTTCTTAAAAGAGCAGGCCACAAAAAACACACTATTTCCTTTATTAATGTTGCTGTTTTACCTTAAAAAAACAAACACACCCAGCCCAATTCAAAACACTTTTCTGGATGGATTTCAGAGGTCTGTACCTTGAATCTGAGGATCTTTATCTCAGCACCCCCGGAGAGGCAGCAAGACCCTCCACCCCCAGGTACCTGGTGCCCACATATAGTTGCTTTTCTTGCCTTCAGTTTCCAAAAGGCATGGTTGAATGGATGACAGCCTGAGGTGTGCTTTGAGTTCTCTGAGGGAGGGTCTTGTCCAATGCAACTGGTTGCTGTCAAATGTCCAACTCCAAGTATAATCAGGGAGACAGGCATGCCCTGGATGTCATCTGTGTCACTGCTTCTCTGAGTGGCAGCCGGCAGACCTTCATGGGAAACAACATGTTACTAAGAGCCTTGCTGACCCCAACAGCCAACCCTGAGATAACTAAGACTTCTTTGCACCTTCCCTGAAAAGACAGTGGATGTCTCCTCCAGGGCCTCCTGAGGTTCCTGTTGGAACTGCTTACTTCATTGCTTTGGTGTGGTTACCACAACCCCAGAGATCTGTTTGGATTCTGTTCTCCTAAGTTATATATAGTACAAATATTCTGCCTCTTTTTCTTTCTTAAGTCTCGCTGTATAGCTTTGTCTAGCCTCTAACTCTGGTCTGTGTAGCTCTGCCTTCTATATTGTGCTAGCCTTTCTCAAAGCAAAAGATGAAATAAGAGATAGACAAGCTATTTAAAAAATGCTTTAAGAAGGACTGTTCTTTAGGGGCATTTAGACTCTGTCATAGCATTTATTTATTGATTTATTGATTTGTTGATTTGTTGATTTGACCTTTCCCTCAGGAACTTAGAAGACTCACAGATATGCACAGGGAAGTGTGCTAATAGGCTCAAGAATATTGGTTGTATCTGTATAGACAAGAAGGAGTTAAATTCTTTTAAAAATTACATTTATTTGTGTGTATGGAGGTACTGCATGTTTGGAGGTTGGAGAATAACTTTTGAGATCAGTTCTCTCAACCATGTGGGTCCCAAAGATGAAATTCAGGCCTTCAGGATTGGTGGCAAGCACTTTTACTCAATGAGCCCCCTCACCAGCCCAAAATATTTTACTTTAAAGTAAGCTAAGACATGTAGTTTTTGCTTATACTGAGTATCAGTTAAAACTCTCAAAAACTTTTTAATCATCTTTGAAATTCACATTTTTTTGAAATTCACAATTTTAATGAAAAAAAAAAAAATCCCTGAAGACTTGCTAGTTTGGTAGCTGGCGGAAGTGACCTATAAAAGTCTTCAAAGGGGCAGGCGAGACAGCTCAAATTAAGATGCTGGCTGCCAGTCCTGACACGTGAGTCCCATCCCCAGAACCCACAAGATGGAAGCAGAGACCCAACTCTGGCAAGCTGTCCTCTGACCTCCACATTGTGTGTTGACACGTGCCCCTCCCACACATATAAATAAAGATTAAACAATCTCATTAAAAGTGGAATTTTTGTGAGGGAGGTCTTTTTTGTTTTGTTTTTGAGATGGGGTAGGTAGCCCAGGCTCAGCATATCTCTCCATTCTCCTCAGTCCACCTCAGGGTGTGTACTGCCATCCGTGGGTTATTTTTACTATTGTCAGTGGTCCTGAAAATTGAATCCAGTATGTATGCATATTAGGAAAGTATCTCACAACCAAACATATCCCCAGCACAACTCTTTGGGTTTTGTAAGCATTCTACTACTAAAAACCCATAACCCAAAACTCTCGGGCTTTTGATTTGGTTTTGACTCTTGTTTTATTTTTGAGACAAGGTCTGGTTAGGTTGCTTAGGTTAACCTGAGACTTGGTATAACCCAAGATAGCCTCTAACTCGTGATCCTCCTGCCTCTGCCTCTGCAGTGCTGAGATTCCTCACACAACACCATATTTCTCTCTCCCATGAAGACTGCAAAACAAAACATCTCAGGGTTAAAATTAAGTCAGCAGTCACCATTGAGGTGAGTCTTATGCTGGCTAGATAGTCACTGTGGTGATACTAACAAAATTTTTTGAGGATTTTAAAAGCAAGTTCTGTATTTTCAGGGATCATTCTTGACATCTGTCTTTACTGCTGTCACAATCCAGTGTCACTTTATGGTATGAGCCTATCTCATACAAATAACGTTTGGGATCACTGCCCACAAAGTCTTCAGAAAGAAGAAAAAAAGAATAGACTGAGAATGTGTCTGCTTGGACAGGAAGATGGTCAGCTTGAGGGTGGCTGGGCACCCCATGTGCATGCCTGACAGCAAACACCTGCCAACATGAAGCTCCGGAACATCAAGATTTCCAGAACGTGTCTGCCAAGCTGCATTTTCTCTTAAGGGTATTAGGAGTGAGAAACATCAAACAGAAACTGAAAAGATTGTCATGGATGCATGCTGCGTCCATGTTTTATGAACACAGGAGTCGTTCCAGAATTAGACTTCAGTAGGAGTGCAATGAAGAGCCCTCTCCATCGCTGGGAGATTTTGATCAGTAACTCTGGCCTTGGAAAGGGGTTCAATCACAGCAGTTCCTTGGGAGCAAAGTAGATCAGACCAAATTCAAAAGATAGGGAAGGATCTTTTACCCTCTTTCCTGAGGATAATTGGCCTGTTTCTGTGAGAGTCTAATTTACCCTCAGCAAGAGGCCAAATTGGCCTTAATTGTGTCCTAATTATTTGCCTAAACAGCTCATCTTTATTTCTAGTTCTCCTATCACCTCTTGACATCTGTAGGAGGCTACTTTTGAGCTGCTGCTTCAGTCACAAACATCTCTTAACCCTTTAGACACTCTGGTATGAACTAGCTCGATACTCTGAGCTGATTGAATTTGGTTCTCCATGCATTCCTGGGCAAAATTCTCAGAAGAATTCCTGGTTTTAAGGATCCACATAGCAATCTCTGAGCAACTCAAAGAACAGATCTCTGAAACCAGGTGAGCAGATCTGGCAAAAAAATCAAAAGATGAATACGCTGGAGAGATGGCTCAGAGCTTAAGAGCACCGGCTACTCTTCAGACAATCTGGGTTTGAGTCCCAGCACCA